CACCCGATAACCAAAGGCCGAGCCCGCTCTGGGGCAGCAATTCCAGCGGAGGGGGAAGAATGAGGGACACACAATGATACTGCCCCCCCCACTCGATGACCAAAGGCTCAGCCTGTTACTGGCTAACGATCCCAGAATTACACTTACAATTCCCCCAGACGGGGGGTGCACCGCTCCCCGAGGCCCCGGACGCAGTCACGGAACGGAGATAACAGCCCGAGCGTCCCAGACCGGAGTGGGGAAAATGACCACCTGGCCGCAGCTAACGATCCCCTTGGAGAGGGAAGATCCCAAAACTCACGGAGCGGAGATAACGATTCAGGCGTCCCAGGCTGAGAGAGAAAGAGCTGACTGGGGTGTGTGTGCAGGGAGGGGAAAGGCCTTGGAAGAGCGATGCCGAGCCAGGAGAGAGCACCGAAAAAGCGGAGCGGAGGCAAAAGAGAGCACTCTTCTGGGTGTTCTTACCTATATACTGGGCATGAAATGCATGGTATGGAATAAATCATTGGCTATTCTGAGTTTCAATTTTAACATAAGGGCAAATCCTATGCTAGCAACCAGCTGTGCCTCTTTGCTCGTCTGCTGACCTTGGCAGCAGAACAAAACATTATTCTCTTATCAGCTCCTCTGAGCGTAAATCCAAAACACAGCCTCTTGCTAGCTATTTATGAAGAAGAAGGAGAAAAAAAAAACCTCACAGAGTTAACGTTAAGCAGTCTTTAACCCACGACAGTATTTACATACAGCACTTGGAAGTCAGCATAAAGATTAAATTAATCTTTTTTTCCTCAGTGTCAAAGGAACCCTGCACAGGTTCTGCTATTGCTTAAAATAAGTTACTATATCCAGCAACCAACATGCACTTTTTAACTGAAGCAAAATTAAATGAAAGACTGTGGTGTGAGTGGCTTGGTGGGTAAGGCCATAAAGTTTTCAGTTTTAAGAATTCAGTTAACTCTAAACAGAAGTCTCAGGGTGAACTTTTTTTTTTTTTTTTTTTTCCCCCCAGAACTAACACATATCATAAAACCTCCACACAGAGTTTGGTAAGACTTGAAATAATTGTCACTGTTTGTCACTGTTGCTTAAAATGGACATAAATACACATTGATTTTTAGTTACCTGTGGATGCTGTAAAGTGTATTTACTGAGTAATAACTGAAACACAGTAATAACTGAAATTCAGCTGGCAGTTAATTTTTGTGATCTAAAAACTCATATATATCAAATTGCATGTTAGCACGAGGCAACTGGAAAATACCATGCCAGTTATATTTATTGCAGGCAAATAAAATTACTACATGTGTAAAGAAATTATAAACTATTTGTTTAAATCTTAAACCAAAAGAGCTCGGACAATAACTGAACTTTACAATTTTCTTAATATTATCCACTCCCTCTTACATCATGACAGATGCAATCAGATCATATACCTACAAGTTGGGTAGGACCAAACTGCTTAATTTGTAGTAAAGTAAGTACTTTGAAGTATTTTTAAGTATCAAAAAGAATGTAAAATATTTTTTTCCCTTGAAAAACAGTGTAATGTTTCTTGATGTATGACATTTGGTGCCTTCTGATAACTTGAAATAACGAATTATGGCCTGAAGACTCATTCCTTCAGAAGTGCTAAACGTAATTAATCCCAGTAGTTAAACTGAAAACATCTGCTTAATACAATTAACAGCTTTAGCCAGACCTACATGAAAATTCATGTAATTTTTCCATTTGAATAGCAGTGGTTTAACTTAAAAGTAATCACATTTTAGAGAGCTACTATTTCAATTTTCTTTGAATATAGCTTGTTCAAAGAACTTACACCACCTTCTAATGACTTATAACACAGTTCTACCACAACCAGAAGGTAACTAGATAGTTAATATTATGCTGAATGTGAACAGAAATTGGATTCTAAATTAAAGACCTTTATATGGTTGACTGTTATATTTCAAATTTTCATATGTCTACCTAAAAAAGTTTTATTTCTCTAACACTGTACAGAAATCTGTGAGCACAGTGATGCCCCTTTCTTCTGCTGAAATATAGTTATTGAACAGTCATTTAGTTGAAAATGATCAGATTTAATAATACTGTCTGATTCTCAGCTGCCGTTGATTGCTCTGAAAGAACAAGATTAAAAACTTCTAAGTGTGAAATCTAGCTGTCTGAAAATGAAAAAAATGGACTTCGTACTAGGAAAATGTGTGTAATGTAGTCAGTTTAACTGATCAATTTAAATATTTAAATATGTGGCAGATTTATATCCTGTACCTAAAAATATATCCAAACTACGTTAAGAGTCAAGCTATTTCTCAGATTGCATACTTTCATGCGCTCTGTTCCTCTATTCTACTCGTAACTGTGATGTTAATTATCAAGTAAAGGCATGATAATATGAAACTTGTTCAAAACCTATACCCTGTGTAAGTACCCCTTTGATCATGAAACAGTACTGGCACTGGTGTGGCTTAAGTATTTTGTGTTACAAGCAGAACACTGAAAAATGTAACAGCAAGATGTTCAAACGACTGAATTCAGAGCTGACAGAACATATGGAAGAACTATAAACATGCACTTCATTTGGCCTTTTCTGCCTATTAGATTACTCAATTTAAATAATGTTTACTTCAATCACCTACTTTTAGTTGTCTCCTTTCAGAGGAGAGAAAAGGGATGCCTACCAAGTTTTGAGTATAGCCAGACAATTAACACGCCCGCATGCAAAATTGCCGATCACCTTGTCCAAACTGGCCCACTATTTTTGCAGGAAAGCCACTTTGCTGGTGCAGACGTGGGCTTTCTGAAAATCTCAAAGTTACAACAAAATAGACATTATTTTAAATTTAACATTTTCACTCAAGTTTCTTGAAAAACCATAGTCCTCATGATCATGCTTCATTGTGAAGCAAGTAATAAATCTCTAGCTACTGGGTTAGTCACCTATTCCCACAAGAAAGCCTGCAGGAAGAAGTAAAAATATCACAGGAAACTTTTCCTGCTAAGAATATTCTGGCTTTTTGCCACTAAAGAGGACAGGGCATTATTTTGGGGACAGAATTTGAATTCTGCTTGATAGGACGTGGGTTTACCAGAGCTAGGTGACAGGAAAGGCTTCATGTCTACATAAGAGATTTGAAGTAAGAGAGGAAAGGAGATGATGGAGAGGAGGAAGAAATTATGTACTTTCCTCTTAGTCTGAACTCACATAAATTTTTGTTCTGCTGTCAGAACCTCATTCTCTCCTAATGGGAGAGAAAATCTGCTGGGAGATCATGAAGGAAGCAAAAGAGTATTATCCTATATGTTGATGTAAGGACAGACGGAAAAGTGATATATATTCCTGCAGTCTTTGTTAATCTATGGTGGGGTGACTGTGACATCTTTTGCCGAGTGCAACGATGTCTATTGTACAGTACTTTTTCTCCATCAAAAACATTTTATATGTAATTCACATGCTTTCTTCCATTGCTAGTTTCAAATACATGACTAACCGAGGTGAAGATTATAAAACCACCAAAGTCTCATTTTAGACAAGATCCATATTGCTTAAAAAACTAACAGCTTCAAAAAGATCTGAAGTAATCTCAGTGTATGGGCCAAGGTATTCAGTAGCATTTATGAATAAATTTTAAATGATCTTTAAGACAGGACCTCATCCTTCCAATATTTTTAAAAATGGTATCCTTAGATGCCTAATGACTTGGGTGCTTTGAAAACAGGAGTTGCATAAGTCACATAACCCATTTTTTAGGTATCATTCTAAGGTGCCATTACAACAAAATAATTGGAAGTTTCATTTATTTTGCATGGCTTGAATCCTAATGTGAATATAAAGTAAACTGACTTTTCTGAAAATATTAGAAGCTTAACATTGAAAATTTAAATTTTGATTAGTAGTTTTCAGTAACTGTAAATACAACTTGCCCTCTATACATTTTTAAAAGTAATTACAATGTGTCTGTAGCATCCTGATAGTATTGCTTTGATACTGTTGTTATTATATTATGGTAACACCGTTCTCTGTGAGGTAAATGAAATATTTGTTGTTGTGCAGCTTGCAAATAAACTTTTCTTGCATTTCATTGAACATCCTTCCTCTGTAAATAATCAAAAAAGCTAAACAAGTCAGTTGAATGCCTTAAAGCACTGATTCTAAATCTTTTTCTTCCAGATCTTTTACAATGTATTTTTTAGTTCTTCCTGGACAGAGGACATTTTAATTTTTGGAGTGAGGAGACAAGGCACACCGTGTTTTCTCGAGAGCATGTCACCAGGAGTGACGAGGAGACAAGGTTGATTCAGCTGGGAGGTAGTGGTCAAGGCATGGAGAGGACTAACAGGACAAAGGGACATAGCAGCACAGAATGCTGGACGAGAGGAAGCCAGAGATCCCATCGCAGGAGTTTCTGTGGAGCATGCGAAACTCAGCACGATAAAACTTACAGCTCACAAAAGACTGCATTCCCTCCAGTCTCTGCTGCGCCATCTCCAGCCCCCAAACCAATGTTAGTTGTCCCTGTTCTGCTCTGCTGCTGCTATGTCACCTCCAGGGTATGTTCTGCAACTCTCAAGAAAGATGATCAGGCCTTTCGCTTTGAGTACCTCTGTCTCACAGCAAAGTAAAAAAAGAAACCTCACAGAACACAAAATCTTACCTCAACAATATCCGAATTTGTTCGACTCTCATGTGGCTCGTTGTATTCGGTGTATTTCAGCAACACTTTGTCCATATCAGTGCTGGCATACTGGAACAGTTTGTTGGTGCTGTTGAAGATGATCAGAGCAATCTCACAGTCACACAAAACACTCAGCTCATAAGCCTTCTTCATTAACCCAAATTTCCTCTTTGTAAATGTCACCTGGGAAAAAAAGAAGAAAGAAAGGTCCGTCAAAAATCCCCAAGTTAGTCTTTATAGTCCTTCTTCTTTTTTTGGAAATACAATGTGCAACTGCTGTAGTCATTGCATTGAAAATGTTCAGAAGGCAATCACATAAATATAAATACAGTCTCAGAATATAAGTATGTGCGTCTGTGTCATTTAAGTGAGGAAATAGACATAATTCTCACTGCACAAAACTGGGGCTACAGGTAAAGAGCATGGGACATTTTCATTGAACAGTGCAATGAAGTGTGGATACTTCATCTTTCTCTGTAGCTTTTTAATTCATATGTTCTTTATACTGCATGCATCTTTCCCATCAATGTTTTAAAACTGCATCTCAGATCTGCAGATGTAAATAGTTTGAACATGTGGAGTCAATTCTTATTTTAATAGTGACTTACTTTGATCCTCCAACTCCTGCTAGATTTTTAGTGGAAGAAATTATTTCATACAGAATTTAAGTTGTGTGTTTATATGAACAACATATCTGTTTCACACTCACAATAATCTTGAAGAAATATGTAGTGTTAAAAATTCAAACACTCATGGAAGAAATGAGAAATTTAAAGCATGAGTGAAGAACAAACAATAGTTGGCCAGTAACAAACACCACCTTTGAAACAAGGTCTTTTCTAAAGACAGATGTAGCACACTTTATTTAACTTCAAATTAGATGCTTAGAAATACAAACTACCATTTTTTAGTACAAAGGACTTCGGGTCATATTATATAGGAAAATATAGGGATGTACTTAAAAGTTCTCACTAGGCCAGCTAACGCTCTGACATGCAAAACCTAAGCAGCATGAAAAACATCGTTACTCTGTCCAAAACCATAATTTTCCATAGGGACTGTTCTGACAATGAAAGCTCTACACAGCAAATATTTTTTTTTCTCTTCTTTTCTGCACTAGCTTACAAGTTCCAGTAAGACATGTGACTCAGAAACTACCACGAGCTGTTCAAGCTAATTGTATGGCTGAGTTTTTATCCTTTTTCTGTTTCTTCATATATGCAATTTGCATTAAGTGTATACAATGACTGTGATTTTTTTTTACATCTATTTTTTCTCTAATGATTTTCAGGGACAAGAATTTTTAAGATGAAAATACAGTTTTGCTAAGCTTATTATTAATCAAATTTAACATGTAGTCAAGGTATTTGATACGACAAGGGCAGGCATGCAACCAAGTTTATAGGTCTGCTTAATCCTGCACTTGTTGCTACCATTCCTTAATACTCATAAGCGGTAGCACCTCTGCACTTTAATGCTGAGGCAAGAAGATTCGTCTGTACATGGCTCATATGGCTGCTGTTTTATCTTGTCACACTCCTAATGCAAGTTAATGCTAACTGCGACCCCAGACTACCTTAAAATCCCAGCACATCCGGCCATGGAAAACGTGACCTTTAAGTATTGCTAATCCCTATTTGCTAGTGTATCTCAGAAAGATGAGGCTCTGTGCCAATACTATGAACATTTATTCTCCCAAATGTATACTGAATGTTATTCCTCTTATTGTCATTTCAATCTCTTTAGCCTCTGTCAACATACTGTTAAGAAAAGATGGATTGCCATTAAATACAATTAGTCAAGCGTTTTAAAAACACACTTTCCACAGCACTGCTCTCAAGTATGCATAATGGATAGTAGGTTCTTTCTAAATTAGTCTGTCTCAATGGCTTTTGATATTTGGAATGAATAACGAGATAGGTAACAAAACTTCATTCAAATTCTGAAAAGAATCTTTCAAATGCTCCTACAATGTTCTTCCTGATTACAGAGAATTGCAATGCATTTGTTGAAACATATATATGTATATTTACACATAAAAGCATGTTTTAGAAAAATCTAAACATACAGAAAAAAAAATGTACTAACTCAACATATTTTTTTGCATCTAAAATGCCTTTCAATCAACTTTTTGACCACAGTGCTGTAGGTGGAGTGTCTCTGTACAGTATGGTTTCTGTTGCACAGAAACCTCAGAATTTAGCATGTTACAGCTTCTTACCATCAAAGTACACTCCAGTACAGAAATATCTTTAAAGCCACTGCTTGTGTTTACTGTTAGGTGCTCCTGAACATGTAGAATAACCACACAGCTGTGCAGCACAGCACATACTTATTTCATAATACTGATCACCAGAATGTTACTAGTTAGAGTTCCTTTTTGTGGAAAGTGAAAAAAAGAACAAATCAGCCAGATCTTTTTTTTTTTTCCTTCTCTAAAATATAATCTTAATTGCTCTGAATTTGATTTGCTTGTAACTCCTTGATCTTTCTAACATTTTCTAAATCTATCAGACAGTGCTTTCCTGCTACTGTTGATAAATGTGTTTCAAAAAATTGTATCTACTACTGTTTCTATGGTAATCTGGAATATTACTTTTTCTTTTACATATGCCATTCATTGTGGCTTATATTGACATATATATATATAAAAAACATATATATGCAAATTTGTCATGCTTTTACAACAGTTTATAGTAGAGGTGAACTTGTCTTTTCAAATGTATAGTGAAAGGTCAGTAGCTTCAGGAAAAATTAAGAATACTCTTCAAGCCATTTAAAAACAATGGGTTTTTTCATACTTTCTTCTATGTGGCTACATAAGGAAGATGAATATAATTCTCTTCCATATGCTAAAATATTTTTGTGAGCAATATAAGCAGACAGCATCCTCATTACTTTTTTTGGGTCTCAATTTGTTAATAATTTCTTATGTTAACCAGAATCACCCAAAGTATCTAAAAAATATTGTCAAGGGAAATAGATAACATTCTAGTATTACAGAAATTTTGCTGTGTGGTAAAAATTGGCATAAATTATTTTAAATGTTTGTTCTCTTTTGTCTAAGTGGAAAGCAGTGTGCAACCTACACTTAAGAAGCTTTGAGTACACTTGAACTGACTCAGTGCCGAGAATGAAGAAGACACACACAATCTGCACGAACACAAGCTTTTGAGTAGCTGTAGCTATAGTACCAAAAATCCAGGTGGTCACATAGTCTTATTGTGATATACTGCATTCAAAGTTCCCAGTCATGACAGCACCATGTAACAATGGACAAAGTAATTTTGTCATTTGACATAAAGAACACTAGCAAGACTGAAAGAAAACACACATACAGTGGGACAACTCATCAACATATTTAAAAAAGCACATAGAAGAAGTGTATGCATTTCAATAACTTTTCAATATTTAACTTTTTTTCCAGCAGCAAGAATCAAATCACCGCATTTTATTTCCAGATGATATTAAAGAAGACATAATTATTATCTCTGCTGTCTAAACAACTGCTAATTTGTAGGTGTTTTCAGTTCACAAATTTTCTCCATTTTAGGAGAATGACAGGCAATTTAGGAGGTCCTTCTCTTTCTGGGATGTAATATTTTATAATGACACTGTGAGAACTGGGAAGAATGAAAGTGGAGTGGAGGGAGGAAGTGAAACAGATAAGAGGCCAGTATTCAACTATCTTTAAAACCTCTTTAAGCACGTGTATCTAAAATGCAAGGGTTGAAACACCAACATAGTTTCTAAACACTGTAATGAGGTGCTTTTATGCATGGTTTTACATGTATTGCAAAAAGAGCAGTGTGTGGAGAGTACCACTTTTACCTCTGAAACATACAAAAAAATAACCTGATTCCATCCCTTCATATTAACTGAAAACCTTCTAGTCCGTTACTATTTGTTTTAGCACTATTGTTATTTTACTTATTTAAAGGTTATTTTTAAAAATTTAAGAACCAAATTGGCCTTGTAACAGGAACGGTGGTACCAAGAAGCCTGCAGCATTTTTGTATATGAAGAAGCATAAACGCTGATGAATTTATAGGCTGTGAGCAAGTCAGATGCTGCTTTCAAGCATCGGGAGAACTACATAAAAAAACCCCCAACAAGTAGCCAGCTTCCAACTTTCTTGATATAAATCAAGACAAGCTTTTTATGCATTTTGGATTAAATTCTGACTACAGGTGAAACGCACTGTATGTGCTAAAGGAAAGGCATTGACAAAAGAGGACTGTTAAAAGGATGTTTTTCCACTTTTACTCTGCCTCTTCTTCAATACCATGGAAACACCTCTCAACTAGCTCTTCATGCCTAAAGCTGCAAGAGTCTTCTGAGAGATGGTTCATGGACTAGTTGTTGCAATGTCTGTAAGTGGGGCTGTAGACAGCCTGAATTCAAGTGTGCATATGCTCCATTTAGTGGCCCAGAGCAGACGTTCTTGTTTAATTGCTATTATGTAAAACTTACACTAAATTAACTAGAAGATAATGTTGCTTAGTTGCAAGTATACATTCTTTCATGTGCTGAAATTTAAATTTAAATGTGTGTATATGTAAATAGTAATACTGGCCACTGGTAATAGTCTTTATCTAGCTAAATTTGTAACAACTATACGCGTCTTATAAATCTTAATACATCAGTGAAGCAACGTATCCCATTTAATGAATACAGCCTTCAGGATACATTATTTATCTTTGTCGCGATGTAGTCTTTGCTTCTTTCTGTATTTTTTTGGTGGGAGTTGGTTTGGGATTTTTTTTTTTTTTTTTTTAATTCAGGTCCTTCTAATACTTTTGCTGACATCTCACACACCCCGAGTGAGAGGCTGAGCCATAACAGCACTCTGTATTTATCAGTAACAGCCATAGCATATTTGCTAATATTTTGTTTTAAAAGGAGCAGTCCTGTGATCTTTCAAGCAATTCAGTCCAGCCAGTGGCAAAATATCAGTGTTCCCCTTGCTTCTTCCTATCCTGATTACAAAGATATACAGCTGCTGACATAGTAAATGAGAGAAACAGAGAATTTGCACATAATCCTTCCCATATACATTTCCTGCCACTGAACATGTATGAGTAAAAATCAGGGACCACCAATGCACAGAAGTATCTGATATGGATACTGCCTGGTCAAGAAGAAATATTGTTCTTTTTGTTCTTATTTCATCTGGAATATCT